GGCAAGAACTGTATCCCTTAAACTAGGGGTATACGTTACAGTGCGTTGAAAAATTCAGGTACCAAATAAGTCATTAGTAGAGAAAACATAATCGCCACCTGATTTCACGTAGAAATTTCGAAAATTGAGTGAAAAGACAATTCCAAATCCAGAGGACGTCGAAAGTGGTGAAAGGTTTAGTATGCGACTGTTTACTTGTTCCCGTATTCAGTGTACAACAGCCGCTTAAATTAATCCATTAATATTTTCCAACCTCTCCATTGTAAACTAAATCCGTAGGGAGCGGAAAACAAATTTAAATATGTTACGCATTTTTTCCGAGTTCATTTTAAAGCACTTGCAATTCGTGTTTTATTGTGTTTACGTTATTACGCTGACGTTTATGTGGATAAAATATTGAACGAGCGGCCACGTTTAAATATTGAATTAAGTTAACTCCGTGCGGTATTTTTCCTAGCTGGTTTTGAATTGTGAGTTTACAAATGTAAAATAAATAAATGTATTTGTTGATTGTTAATGTAATTGCTGGCAGTTGGATTTTCATGCTGTTGGATTTTAAAAATGACTGCTCGAGTAATTACAATTTAGGTAGAGGTACAGGGTTATACCGCGTTTATTATAAAAGATAGAAAAAAACCTTAAATTCACAAGTTGTGGTGTTTATCATAAATCGCCAGAGACTGTAAAAGTAAAACAAACAAATAAACATCGTAGTTAGTAAAAAATTCCAATTTGGTAAATTTTAATGGAACGCCCTGTATATTTTTCAAAAATCGAATAGATGTTTTCTTTCTGATTTCAAAAATATAAATGTAGTGATATTTACTATAGCTGTTTTTGAGATGTTTTGTTTTAACAAATGGCACTATTGCCATAACAAAACAAATGGTTATTATATTATTAATATATTATTTAACCCTGGAAATAACTTAGACCAACTTTACATTTTAACAAAATGTAACCAAAATTTTCAAAATTAAAGAATAAATAAATGCAAATGTCAAAATATTACATATTTTTGAAGCCAGAAAGAAAAGATTTTTGAAAAATATAAAGGGTGCTCCAATAAAAAGTTACTAATTTTGTGATATCAATTTGTTTTTTTAGGTTTATATTTTCTTTCGATTTATGATAAACCCCACAACTTTTGTATTTACATTTCTTTTTTATACACGCTGTCTAAATATCCGGAATAACCCTGTATACTTAGGAATACGATCCTGAATCAAATGCCTTTTCCGTTAGCTATCTGAATCGAAGTGCCTTTGCAATATTTATTTATTTTTATGCGAAAAAATGCCATGTTGCAGAAAAAGTACGTTGTACGCAACTACTATACTTCATGCGTTTGCTATTATCGTTCCGATGCTAATTTTATCTGTTCGACCTGCGTATAAAAACGTTGTTCTTTGATCGTTCTTCCAATCGATTAGCAATTCCGACTTTTATTAGATGGCAGTTTGAAAGCCTTTTCGCATAACGGATACACAACACCATTGGTCGAGCTTTAAATTCAGTTCGAATAATTGAATCTTTTCCATTCTTGAGGTTGTTTTCGAGATGTTTGTGTTTATAGCGAAAGACTTTCGAATAACTTCTCTCGTTTACATTTATATGCAAATCAAGTGGAATTCATGCTTGCGTCCTCGTTCCTTTTATTTAAATTCCTTAGAGATAGCAGCAAACGCATTGACGCAGTTTGGATATCAGGATACACATGAATCTTTAGATGAAGACGACCGATCGATCGGTTTCGTAGCTGGTGTTAGGAGAATGTTTACGATTCCACCCCAAACAGCATTTTGTATCGTGTTCCCTCACATACCTTCACTGATACTATTCACAGGTTTGAAATGTTAAAATTAAAAATTCAGGCTTTAGCATTGATTATTATTAACGAGTCCGTCTGTCCGTCTCGAAAACGGATGGACCAATTACAATCAAATTTTTCAGGCGAAGTGTTTATCAAATTAGATCGGAGGCCCTTTTGACATCTAGGGTTTGTAGAAAAAATGCAAAAACATGTCATTTTGGTTGAAAGGCGTGGCATATTTTACTTAAAAATTTACACCCCTCGCGTTAACCCCCTAAGCAGAGTTGCCACCCCCTCAACGATTTTAAATTGAACGAAAAGAGTTACAGCGAACAAAAAGACGGACAACCATACAAAACTATAAAGGATCTGAGGGTACTTAATAATTTCAGTTATTTTCCTTCGGGATAACACGATAAAGAGCTTTAAAACGTAAACTGCCCTTAGTCTGTTATTAAAAACATAAACGACACGAAATCGCCGAAATGTGTGAGAAGGGTTCGTTTGTGTAACAGATGTGAACGCTTTATATCCATGTATGGTCCAGAGCAAAATTGAGAGAGTTTAGTATCGACATGCAATTAAGATAAGATTCTTAATTAGGATTTGGCATTTAGAAAACTAACCCTATTTCAACCAGTTATTAAATTAAGGTTCATTGGGGAGACAAGAGAAAATAATGAACTGACGGAAACCGCAAAACATGTGGCCTATAATTTCACTTTAATGGGACCGTTACAAATTAAGGTATTTTATAAGGTTATTCCGTAGTTCACGTATAACTTTTCCGTTGGCCAAAAGTTTTATCTCGTTAAAGATCCGCTTTCGATCCTGAACCAACCACCTTTATCGAAAGTCTCCTGGGCACGCGTCCATTCCATAATCCCAATCCGTATAAAGTCAATTTGCTCGTACTTTAAAATATTATGAGCTTGACATTTGCATATCTTGTAAGTCGGGCTGCAAGTATTGATTTCGGGCGATGTAATTTTCACCTTTACCAGGATGTTAGAAAAAAAGCGTGCGCTTCCCCGGGGCGAAAATTAAGTCGCACTTTGTGTTAGCGTTCTGTACTGGCTTTCGTTAATCTCCGCTGACATTTAACTAGGCCGGTATTTCGAGAGATTTAATTAATTTATGCGACCCGCCAGGTTTTGCTACATTGAACAGAATTACCTTCGCGTAAATTATGACAATCAATTACCTCCCGAAACAGGTGTCCAGGTAATTCCGTCCTAATGAAAATCTGGGGAATTATTTGACGGGACTGAAATAATAAGAAGCGAGGGCTGTCAGTTTTGGACGCGAGGAAAGAATTCTGTTTCATCCCGGTGTACCTTTGATTTTTGAGCTGGAACATATTTCTATCAGAGAGCCTGAAATAAATGTTTGTGCTGTGAATACCAATTCGGAATTTTGTCTAGAGGATTGATTTATAACGGTGGATGGTGATATGTGGAGAGAAGTAATAAACATGGACAAAGAATTGCATGAGTTAGGGGTGTTCTATTTAGTTCATCCAAGAGCCTCTCTATTTTTCTGAAACTGAAAGGGTTTAGTTAGAATATCAACCCAAATACCCTTTGCTATTTATTTATTATTTGTTGTTGATTTTCAGAGTTTTGTTCATTTATAGAAGGTTGATTATTGTTTTTAGGTTTGCTATAGTTCTTCTCTTACATTCCGAATGTTTTTGTGAGAGCGTGATTCAGTGCATAGGTATTAAAATAAGTATACAATCCACAGTATTTAGGTTGCACATTTCAATAGCCTCCTATACATATCCTTATAAAGAAAACCTACTAACAAATACTCTAGAATTGCATTAAAAAAAATTGTATTGCCTTCAGCTACTTGTAACTAGCGGTAGGTAATACCAAAGAGTAGAGTACTTACTCTTTGGTAATACTTACTTGAATTTGTTTGTTATTTGATTACTAACTTCACTTTAAATGTTATCTTTGTTTTGATTTTCTTAAGATTGGCCAATAAAAAAGTTTAGAGTTACATTTGTAGCATCCAAAAAAGACTTTTGGGAGAGAGATTTTGGAGATATATCGGACGAATTTACCTTCCAAACGCAGTATTGTATACCGTTACACTTGTAACCGGCTAGAAATGCAATTAAAAGTGAGGACCGAGAAGTCTTGTATTACTCGAAAACAATAGTGGCCCGATAATAATTAATACATAAACACCAAAAGGAGCACGTTTAGCAAATGTTACTTTCAAGCCCGACGAAACGCGAATCGATTATAATTTGTGCGACATGGCAGCCACCAGCTATTGAAACGTTTCCCTTGCATTTCTCTCATTGTGTTTCCATTTACGTACTGGAAATATAATATGAATCCCTTGAACTACGTAAACCCACTAACTCCCACCGGAAGTGTTTCGAATATCATTGTAAAATTCGGTTTTATATGCGCACTTAAATCTCTACACGATTCTGTTATAGCATATAAATCCAAATTTGATATAATTTCAAAGGGAACCTTCCCCGGGTTAAGTAGCCAGGTTTACTACCCCAGTTTTTCGCCCACGCTATAACATCGACACGTCCCTTTGGCGACGAGTTCCGTCAAAGGAGAATCAGAGCTCATTTAATGGCACATACATAATTATGGAAACGTTTCGCACCCTTCCCTTGAAATTAATTAAACGTAGCGCATGTTATTCAAAAGCATCTACAATGGTTTTCATTACCGATAAATGAAAAACACGACGAAAAAATGTGTATCGTCGTAAGAGACGCTGAAAAAAAAAACCAATCAACGGCGCCCCTTATGAGAGGAAGCGTGTTTATTTTGTTTTTCTCGAGAACGTTTCCACGACAGCCTTTTATTATTTTCTATGGTAGTTATCGTTACCGACACTTTCCAATATTGTCTAAGCGTTTGTGTGAACTAAATTTTCTGCCACGATAATTACCACTGTACTTTTGTGATTAATTATGGAAATAAGGATACGAGGTGCCCTCTTCATTTATTTTTTATATGGAGAAATGGGGTACTTTATCTTAATTTAGGTGATTGTAACGCTGATTAATTAATCGTAACCGTTCTTTAATCTCCGCAGTGAAAATAAATCTTCCCGAGCTTAAAGCCTCGATTACCCTTACGTATTTATTTGGTTAAAAAGATCGATCGAAGTAAGCTATTTAGAATTACGTACGCAAATAATCAAACCAAATTACCAATGTTTACTCAATTTAACATGAAATCCTCAAAAATCGATGCACACATAAGATTTCTGTTTTCAGTGCAGAGAAAAGTAGTGTGCGTGGGTGGTGCGCGCGTAGGAGTAAGAAACGGTCGTTACAACCTAAAAAGTATAATGTTTTTTCATTGTTCCTTTCTTGAAACTTTGGTGATGATGATGTCAGCTTAATCGGTGGAGAAGAACGGCCGAAGATCCAATTCGTATTCCTCGAAAAAGACCCTTGAAGTGATATTTCGCCCACAGTAACATGGAGTACTGATATATATCAAAACCGGCCGAAGAGAAAGCCACGAAAGTGCGTTTTCTTTAATTTTTAATATCATAACTTTGAGCTAATGAAATGAAACCATTTACTTTATGATAGTGGTGAGGGGGTTTGGTAGCGAAGAATTCTTTTGGGACAGCAAATAACTCCTTTAAAGAAACAAACCCCCCTGCAAAAATGAACATCATTAAAATTTGCAGGAAAAAGGTAAACTTACAATTGCTGCTCGTATGTCCTACAGCTATCCACACAAGCCCGACAACCATTCGTCTTCACTACCATTGTTGCAACTAGCAACAAAAGAACCATCCACAAAATAATCCCCTTCATCTTGTTCTTGGCTTCTAAGAGTATGATTCAATAACGGGGGTCGTGATCTTTAATACTACCATTGAATAAGTATATTTATTTAATGATACCACGGTGGACAAGGTTATCGTAACTTGGTCTTATGATAACCCTGTTGTCTTCCAGAGTTCTGATGTTGCATAAATGTAAAATATGGATCTAGTAGTCCTTTTCTCGCCAATGTGTCAGTTATACCTAATGTTGTTTGCAAATTCCCCATAGATTTGACGCGATGGTAAGGAGGCAACCGTAGTACCGCATGTCCATTTTTTAATGCCATCCCATCAGCAGTATATCGTTTTGAGGGTTGGTTTCTGAAATATCAAACTGTTGGTCTCGAAACTAAAAGTATTACTGCGAATGCACGTATTTACTGCTAGGGGTGCCTATTTTACGACGAATCAGGAATTTTTATTTTGTCATAAATTACCAATAAAGGGTGTAAGAGTATGTGTACCAAATTTGGTTCCAACCAGTTCAGCCGTTTAGCCGGAAATGAGAACACAGACAGAGAGACCAACGGACCGGGCGGGTTAATTTTTTACACCAATGCAATACCTCCCTTACAAATGTGCGGGTGGTAAAAAGTTCATCTCCGGGCCGACTTATAATTACGTATCTTTCAAAGAAAGTTCGCTGCAAGGAGAAAAGTTGTTCCCCTAGCCGTTTTTAAATTACATATTTTTCAAGCAACTTATTTTGCACTTATTAGTCAAACGGACTTCGGGACGGATAAACAATTTCTTCATTGGGTTAAATTCTTGTTTCCCCGATTTGATTATGATTAAATGATCCCCTAATAGCAGCCCTATTCACAGTAACATAAACTTCATTCCTAGCCGATTTCATATTATGTAGTTTTCAAGGAAAATTCCTCCTTTCTTTACACGTATTCGCAGAAAGGGGTGTATATCTTGAGATGCGGCAAGAATATTTATGCCCTCCATTTATAACGTTAAAAACTCTATTGACAGCCTTACCTATACGACGCAGAAAATATGACCCCCTAACCTATTCAAATAGCTTACTTTTTAAGGGAAATTTTCTTTTTAAACGTGTTTATTGAAGGGTTTTCCTGTTATTCCAGTCTTTGTATCCACTTTTACCTTGTTGCTTTTCTGCTGTCCCTTTTGGCAATTTCTCACGGCATCTTTTGTATATTCTTGTTCTGTCAAGCCGCGGTCTGTATACAATTTGAACCTTTTAGTTTTCCCTTTCTACACTTAATCCTGTATTATTCTGAATGAATCTAAGAATTAGAAAAAGTTTTTCTTTATCTTTAGCAATCCGTTCTTGAAACATTGACGGCGATGATGTCAGCATTGAAGTTTCTCATTCGGTGAAATTCCTCGAGAAGATCACTGAAGTGATATTTCGCGCCCAGTAACTTGAGCTACTGATAGGTACATCCAAACCTCCCCAAAAGAAAGCCACGAGAGCGCAGTTTTTTTAAATTTCAAAACAAACGTTAACACAAGGAGTTTTTTTTAACCAACTTGGACATCGTGTATATATATATTTCATTAAAATATAATACAGGTATATACACGATGTCGAATTTAGAGGATCGATTTTTCAATAAATTATTTGTAATTGTAAGTGTAAATTTGTAAGCATTCGGTAGAATGGAAGATTGTACCAGAGGTTGGGCGTGTTTGGAGATCGCCCTGCTGCTTGATATTTGGTAGTGCAAAATGAAGCAGACGAATAAACGATTAAAGATGTTCGATTTTTACTTATATAAGAAGCCATTTTGCAGGCATTGATTAAGCAGTGAGAAGTTAAAGGGAGATCATTCCGGAAGATTTTTCATTCCTTCGGTACTGAGCTATGGAGGTATTAACCATAGAATTCTGAGTAAAAATTTAATTTAAAGATTAAGGACGAGACCGCGATATTTGAGCGCACTGGTAAAAAAAATAGTTTCTTTTCGTGAATGTTAACAATATATTATAACAATTTCGGTGATCGTAATAGCATTTCGTCTATGTGCCAAGGGTGTGTCTACATAGTAGACAACATTTCATCTTCGCAGGAATTTTGAGTCATCCGACGGCTATCCAAATTAGGGCCACAATCCATTCGAGAAGCTAAGAAATATCCATTTCACAGAGAAACCTGATTCAATTTTGTCTAGGACTAGGAATTTTCATAGACATTCCGTTGTTGTTTTTTATTTAGTTAAAGTACTTATCCATGTAAATGAGCCCGAATTTACTAACTTAAGATAAGAACTTCTAATAGTTCTAATAAGGAAATTTAAGGGTAGTTTATTATTATAAAAAATTAAGAGTAGATACTAGAGAAATTTTTCTAAAGAATTTTCGAATTTCCTGCCTTAGCCGTTTTTGAATTATGCATGTATTTTTTAAAGATAATTCCCTTTACAGTATCAGAAGAAATCTGGTATCAGGAGAATATAATGTGCGAGGAGATCGAATGTTACAATAAAATTTTTGTGAGGTTAGGTTAGCGTGCTAGTTAGGTTAGCTCAGAAATCTGGTATCAGGAGAATATAATGTGCGAGGAGATCGAAGGTTAAAATAAAATTTAAGTGAGGTTAGGTTAGCGTGCTAGTTAGGTTAACTCAGAAATCTGGTATCAGGGGAATACAATGTGCGAGGAGATCGAATGTTACAATAAAATTTCAGTAAGGTAAGGTTAGCGTGCTAGTTAGGTTAGCTAAGAAATCTGGTATCGGGAGAATATAATGTGCGAGGAGATCGAATGTTACAATAAAATTTTAGTGAGGTTATAGGTTAGCGTGCTAGTTAGGTTAGCTCAGAAATCTGGTATCAGGAGAATATAATGTGCGAGGAGATCGAATGTTACAATAAAATTTTTGTGAGGTTAGGTTAGCGTGCTAGTTAGGTTAGCTCAGAAATCTGGCATCAGGAGAATATAATGTGCGAGGAGATCGAATGTTACAATAAAATTTTAGTAAGGCCCCTACTCTCGTACTTTGCACGTAATTACTCAGAGGGTTGTTCATTTTGCCACCCATCCAAAATTGCAGTTGCTCCAATTGATCATGATTAAAAAGTCCATTAGTAGTTCTATTTACAGTAACAGAAAAATTCATCCCTTAGCCGTTTAAATTACGTATTTTGCAAGGAGAATTCACGTATTCACCAAAAGAGTATCTATTTTGCAACGTATTTGCAGTAAGAGGGAAGTTTCTCCCCTAGCCGTTTTGAAATTACGTATTTGTCAAGGAAGATTCTCTTTTTGTAGGTATTGGTTGAACGTCTATTTTGGAACGCGTAAGCAATTTTTAACTCTTAATTTGGTTAAATTTTTGTTTCTCCGATTTGATTGTGATTAAATAGTCTCCTAGCAGCCCTATTTATAGTAACATAAACTTCATCCCCAGCTGATTTCATAATATGCACGTTTCAAGGAAAATTCCGTCTTTTGCACGTATTCGCTGGAAGCCTGTTTATTTTGCGACCGACGCATCAGAATCGTTATTCCCTCCATTTATTACGTTAAAAATCCCTTGACAGCCCTACCTACAGTAACAGCAAAATTTATCCCCTAGCCTATTCAAATTAGGGAAGTTTTCTCTTTAAATTGTTATTCTAGTCTTTTTGTATACACTTTGGCCTTGTTGCCTTTCCAATTTCTCTTGTCGCAATTTTTCACGGCATCTGTATATTCTTGTGTTTTCTGTTAAACCGTGGTTTAGGTACATATTTGACCCTTTTAGTTTTGACTTTCAAGTTGGGTTTTTACTTCAATTTGTTTTCGTATGTTGGTTTTCAAATCTCCCCATTGCAGTGCTATATGTTCCAATTTTTGTTCTTCTGTTTGGTACTCCTGTTCCCTTGCCTTTAGTTCTATTTTATTTCTTAGAGTGCCTTGTTAGTTTTTCTAACTTTGCTTTTAATTTGTTATTTTGGGGGTAACACAAATTATATTCCTCTCTTACTTCTTCAGGTGTAACGAGAACATTTTTATTTTTATTTTTTTGCATTTTTTCCCCGGTGAATTATGCAGAAGTAAATATTTTTAAGTTGTAAAAGAGTCAAGATTCTGGAAACATTCCTCCAAACAAATATTGTTCATATTAGCTCCAAGTTTTTATTTTGTCGATTGAAATAAAAGTGACCGTTCGTCATCTTCCCACATTTATCAGTGGGGCAACTGTTCTAAATCGTAGTTGTCGCATTATTGTCTATGGTCTATGGTTTTGAATTACAAGTTTCAAATTATCCGTGTTTTGTTTCTTCTGCAACTCAGCTAATGCAATGCAATGGAAATTTATTAAAAATCGCCGCTGGACGTAAAAAAATTACTGAGTAATTCCGAGAATAGTATATTAAAGTACAAGTGTCATTTGACGAAGATTGTCGCACGAGGTAGTTTGCCGCATAAGCCGAGTGCGACAAGTAGACAAATGACACGTGTGCTTTATACTATTTTTTCTATTTCGACTTTTATTTTAAATAATAAATTATACAAATTATAAATATTGCCTTTAGGCGTTGTTAGATAATTTTAAACTATCATTCAGTGTATGTTGGTAATAGACACAATTCATTTATTTTCACGTTGGCTAACCTGATTCCTGTATTTTCAAACTTCAAACTTTTAATTATTTGGTCATAATTCCATTTTGAGGCAGTTATGATAAATACGGATGACAAACACGTCTCTTGTACCCCACCAGAGATCCAAGAGATTGCCAATGAAGCGACGTTAAATTTACTGCCTGTAAAATCGAAAGTAAAGTACGAGGAGTACAAAATTTTTGAAAACTGGCTGGCCGAGAAGGGAGTTCAAAAAGTAAGCAAGAATGTACTGGCGGCATATTTTACTACGCTAAGTAAAAATAAAAAAAGTTCTACCCTTGGAGTATATATTCAAAATTAATCGGAATTAATACAATCGGTCAAGTTCCTCGTACGTTATTTACACTTTACAGGTTATGTTTAGTTTTGATTTGACGGATACCGTTGACAGTAAAAAAGCGAGGGGTACCAATCCAACAAAATAAAAAAAATAATGCGTTTCTATTTCTTTCAGCATCATTTCTGTCTAGAAACGCACGCAAACTGGGTCAATCAAGTACGGTTTTGGTATTGTTTCCACATCGAAATAGAAAAAGGATTATTTCGCACGGAATTAATGCATTAGTGGCCTGGTAGTCGAGCTAGAAAGAGGTTTAAATGGGTTCGCGTTTTGGTAGTCGAACTGGCCAGGAGTAAGGTCCATAGGGAATTCACGCTTGTCATTTCAAGCTGGTAAAAAGTACGGTCCATAGAAGATTCGTGTTTGGTGAACGCGATTAAAGTCTAAAAAGCTTTATCATCGAGTTGTTAAAAAAGCGGACAGTTTAGTAAGGAAAGTAGGAATGACTACCATCAAACTTAATAAAAACCCTGATAAAAACATTGTGTTAGGATGTGCTACTATGGCCAGAAAAAACTGGTGCCGCTGACGATTATTCATTGTACCTTTTTATTATACCATGATTGTACCTATACCATGACTGTACCCATTGTACCACATGATTTTATAAACACGGAGTATTCAGATGATGGTCCTGCTGCAACAGCCAAAGTTCCCTTTTTTGTAATGCTTTCTTAGTATCATGTTTTATCGTCTTTGACCTATCCTTCTTTCGAGTTCGTCCTTCACCTTTTGTCTTCTGAAAAAGCGTTTCCTTAAAGATGTGACCCAGCGATAAATTTCTATACTCTTCTGACAGTTTTCAACGTGTCTGGCTGTCTGCTACCTAGATTCATCAATCATCATATAGGGTTATGAAAGGCTTTATATTATGCAGAAGTTTATTTATTCGCGTAGGTTATCAAAGAACAGTACAAGATAGGAACATTTTTATTTTTGCTCGCTTACTTTCCAAGTTTCGGACAACAAACAAATCCCTTCACAAAGCAAATCGATCTGCGGAGAGCATAATTAAATTTGTATACGCACAACGTAAACTTACATTGGCTCCTCGTTTTCCTCACATCGATCCACACACGTTCGACATTTACTCGTTTGCATCTCAGAGTAAGAAATAAAGATAGAGATGCCTTGATGCTTATCTATGCGTGCCATCATCTCGTTTGTTTACTAACATTGCAGGAGGCTAAGTTGTCACATTTCACGAGATGGTTTTTAAGGGAATATTAATAATATATGCATCTCGAGTAATCTAAATGGATTTTTAGATGCTTATAAGAGTTCAGTAACCCAAACAATTTTAACTTACAATTAAACGGCGTAACAAGAAAAGTTATGGTGACTAGTGCACCACAACGGCAACGCTGTAACTTTGTTTTCCGTTGAGAGGTATTTTTTTATTTCGTTAAAACGTGATTCCTTAATTTTTAGGCGTTTTTATAGTGGAGGACTTATTCGATTGTGGTGTATTAATTTATGGGAGCCCTTTGAAATGGGGAAAAGCTGTATTATTTGTGGAATTATTGAATTACCTAACATAACCTTTCATCCGTATGTGTTTTGAAGTCATAGACGTGCATACGGGAATTTTCGCATTTTAATGTGTTTAGATTTCCTTCTAAGTTTCCACTTTGAAGTATCACCATACCTTATCATAGATCAATAGGGACCTTTCAAACACATACAGCTTTTGGTCATAAATATTTAGTGATACGTTATTACGTTTGCACATGTAAACAAAACATAAACTTTGTTGCCCATAAAAATAAATAAACCTTACGCCACTGACTAATGTTTACTTTCTACCTCTCAAGGGTCAAATTGACTGAGATGTTGGTTCAAAACAAACGTTCACGTTGTTATAGCGTACGCGTACTCTATCTTTATTTCTTACTCTTAGGTTTGCATTGCCATCGCCGCAACCATCAGTAAACAAACTACCAACAAAATAATCACCTTCATCTCGCTAATATTTCCCTCTTGTTTAACGAAGATTGAACGCAGATTTATACACTGCTGTGTAACACAAGGTTATCGATTATAATTTTTAATTGAAGATTTCATACGTTTGGAATGTTGCAGGAATGATAATGATGATACTTCTGTTATTTTCTGTTCGAGGTAAAGGCCCAATTACATATTTGTCACTTTTGATGATCATCTTGGAGGAATCATCCAAAGTGACAAGTATAAATTGCCTTTCATTGTGATTTCATCCAAAGTGTACACTAAAGATGAAGGATGAAAGATATCGACCCCCGACCAACTTTTGATGAAAGAGTCGTTCATCGAAGCGATGATTCATCGAGAGTGAATGCCCAGTGACAAATGTAAACTGTCGACGCACGTTCACTTCACAAACACTAGTTGATTGTTTTGGGTTTTGGTATTCGCGTAGTTTTAAGTAGGTAGTTTTACTTGATTTAAATTATTGTAGGAGTTTTGTGCATACCTATTGTCGTGGCAATGTCATTCAGGTGGCAAGATAAACACATGGAACTATTTCTAGAAAGTTATCAGCGGTATGAGTGCTTGTGGAATAATAAATGCAGTGATTACAGCAAATCAAACGTACGGGAAAAAGCGTACTTATCAATGCTGGCCGATTTAAATTTGCCTGGATTAACTGTACCCGACATCAAGGCAAAAATAACAAGTTAAAAAGTAATCGTAAACGATTTACATAAAGCGCATTTCCACTTGCATTCATTTCCCATTTGTAAGATGCAACTTCTGTTAAAATCGTAAAAATCCGGCCACAAATATGAAAGATAGCGTTGCACATGGGCAATCCATTGTTGATGTGCTACTTCAATTTCAGTTTATGAGAAGAATTTCATTTCAATGCTTTTCTAAATAAGAAAGTTGGAACTGCGCATGCGCAAACCTAAATTTTAAACCTAATGTTAGATTTTCCTTTGTTCCAAGCGCCTAAGTATCAAATTTCACTTAAATAGTTCCATAGATAAAAAATTGGCACTGCGCATGCGCAAAACCAAATTTTGAAATTGGCGTTTGATTTTCCTTTATCCCAAGTGCCTATGGATAAATTTCGTTTAAATTCATCCATAAATAAAAAAGTTGGCACTGCGCATGCGCAAAACCAAATTTTGAAATTGGCGTTTGATTTTCCTTTATCCCAAGTGCCTATGTATCAAATTTCGTTTAAATTCTTCCATAAATAAAAAAGTTGGCACTGCGCATGCGCAAAACCAAATTTTGAAATTGGCGTTTGATTTTTCCTTTATTCGAAGTGCTTATGTATCAAATTTCGTTTAAATTCTTCCATAAATAAAAAAGTTGGCACTGCGCATGCGCAAAACCAAATTTTGAAATTGGCGTTTGATTTTCATTTATTCGAAGTGCTTATGTACAAATTTCAATTCAATACTTTTATAAGTAAAAAAGTTTGCAAATTCGGTTTATAATGGTCGAGATGCGAAAAAAGGGCACTGTGAATTTTGAGATCGATTCCGATCAACTTTTGGCATTGCGTATTATATGGCTAAAGCTATGCCATATTGAATTTCATGCAATTCAGTTCATAACTAACGGAGATGTAAAAGCGATCGAACATTTCTAAACAAAGTTATCGTTCACACGGACAAATAGATGGACAGACAGACCAAGGAACAGACGGAGAGACCAACCGGCAGGCGACAGATAGCAATGCAAAATTATAAACGATCTCTAGGATCGTTAATAAACGGCAAAAGTGTAAAATTATGGAACATGTAAAAAACGGTTTTTTTTTTTTTACAATAACTTTTTTTGTAAGCGGTACAGAAAAAATTCCTTCCTTGGTACAAGACTCGACACCATAACGAACCAAATAGCGAAAAAGTAGAACAATAGCTCTTAAGATAAAAAACTAGTAGCGTCGCAAAGTTAGCGGACGGACGGACGGACGGACGGACAAACTGGCCACAATAGTGCATTTTTTTTTTTTTTTGTGGAAATGCGCTAAAAATGCGCTATTGTGACCACTTTGTCCGTCCGTCCGCTCGTTTTGCGACGCTACTAGTTCTTTATCTTAAGAGCTATTGTTCTACTTTTTTCGCTATTTGGTTCGTTATGGTGTCAAGTCTTGTACCAAGGAAGGAATTTTTTCTGTACCGCTTACAAAAAAAGTTATTGTAAAAAAAACAAAAAACCGTTTTTTACATTTTCCATAATTTTACACTTTTGCCGGTTATTAACGATCCTAGAGATCGTTTATAATTTTGCATTCCTATCTGTCGCCTGCCGGTTGGTCTGTCCGTCTGTTCCTTTGTCTGTCTGTCCATCTATCTGTCCGTGTGAACGATAACTTTGTTTAGAAATGTTCGATCGCCTTTACATCTCCGTTAGTTATGAACTGAATTGCATGAAATTCAATATGGGCATAGCTTTAGCCATATAATACGCAATGCCAAAAATTGAATCGAATCGATTCAAAATTCACAGTGCCCTTTTCGCATCTCGACCATTTATAAACCGAATTGCAAACTTTTTTACTTATAAAAGTATTTGAATAAAATTTGATACATATGCACTTGGAATAAAGGAAAATCAAACGCCAATTTCAAAATTTGGTTTTGCGCATGCGCAGTGCCAACTTTTTTATTTATGGAAGAATTTAAACGAAATTTTATACATAGGCACTTGGGATAAAGGAAAATCAAACGCCAATTTCAAAATTTGGTTTTGCGCATGCGCAGTGCCAACTTTTTTATTTATGGAAGAATTTAAATGAAATTTGATACATAGGCACTTGGAATAAAGGAAAATCAAACGCCAATTTCAAAATTTGGTTTTGCGCATGCGCAGTGCCAACCTTTTTATTTATGGAAGAATTTAAACGAAATTTGATACATAGGCACTTGGGATAAAGGAAAATCAAACGCCAATTTCAAAATTTGGTTTTGCGCGTGCGCAGTGCCAACTTTTTTATTTATGGAAGAATTTAAACGAAATTTGATACATAGGCACTTGGGATAAAGGAAAATCAAACGCCAATTTCAAAATTTGGTTTTGCGCATGCGCAGTGCCAACTTTTTTATTTATGGAAGAATTTAAACGAAATTTGATACATAGTCACTTGGGATAAAGGAAAATCAAACGCCAGTTTCAAAATTTGGTTTTGCGCATGCGCAGTGCCAACTTTTTTATTTATGGAAGAATTTAAATGAAATTTGATACATAGGCACATGAAATAAAGGAAAATCAAACGCCAGTTTCAAAATTTGGTTTTGCGCATGCGCAGTGCCTACTTTTTTATTTATGGAAGAATTTAAACGAAATTTGATACATAGGCACTTGGGATAAAGGAAAATCAAACGCCAGTTTCAAAATTTGGCTTTGCGCATGCGCAGTGCCAACTTTTTTATTTATGGGAGAATTTAAATAAAATGTGATACATAGGCACTTGGAATAAAGGAAAATCTAGCGCCAGTTTCAAAATTTTATTTTGCGCATGCGCAGTGCCAACTCTTTTATCTATGGAACCATTTAAGTGAAATTTGATACTTAGGCGCTTGGAACAAAGGAAAATCTAACATTAGTTTTAAAATTTAGGTTTGCGCATGCGCAGTTCCAACTTTCTTATTCAGAAAAGCATTGAAATGAAATTCTTCTCATAAACTGAAATTGAAGTAGCACGTCAACAATGGATTGCCCATGTGCAACGCTATCTTTCATATTTGTGGCCGGATTTTTACGATTTTAACAGAAGTTGCATCTTACAAATGGGAAATGAATGCAAGTGGAAATGCGCTTTATGTAAATCGTTTACGATTACTTTTTAACTTGTTTTTTATTTTTGTGGAAATGCGCTAAAAATTGTGTATTTTTTCTACTGAATTCAAATCTGCGATTAAAAAAACAAAACTACATCGCATTTTTCAGATAATAACAAAAATGTGATTTTTGTATGGAACGCCCTGTCTATTATTACATCACATGACGGCTTATTAACTTCGCTAAAAAAGTTCTTAATTCAGCTAAAATACGAGGGTTGTCCCCAAAGTAGCAGACGTTTTGAAATAAAAAATTTCTAAATGCGTTTCCTTTGCTACCTATATAAGCAAATTGAATAATGTGAAATCTAAGTAAAGTTTTTAACATCAACACTTCAGAAGCAAATTTTAAGAGCAACAATATAAAACACAACTTATCTACTCTACCTACAAGCAGTGAGTGGAAAATTATATTCAATGCTACAAAAGAGAGAGAGAGAGAACCGAAAAATACCGGTTCTTTGGCACTAATAATAACGGTATCGGTACCGGTTCCAGTTATTATAACTTCCAAGTGAAGGGCTTATAAATGCAATCGGTTCCGGTACCGGACCCATTTTTTCGGTTCCGGTTCCAACCCCTGATTAGGACTGAAAAAGTTAGAAGGGGTGCCGTAGAATTTTTTAGATTTAATTTTCTTGTATCAAATCAATTTAGTTAACCGCTAGGAACCCCTAAATTATTCCAATAAGGGTAAACGAAAATTTTACACTTAGTATACAGTTCAACCGTTTACTTGATTTTTTATTGTCAACCTGATTGAGCAGTGGCTTGCTGTGTAAAGAAGCCAGAATGGTTAAATGACCTCAGCCTTCGGGTAAAGATCCATAATTTAATCTTTTGGGAGTCGTAAGGTAAAGTGATTGAACCAATGGAGCTAGCCGTACCTGTAACAAGATACGAAGATTCGCATACGCTTTTCAGTAGGGGAATTTCTTGATACTCAACTCGTATTCGGAAACACGGCTCGATCATAATCAATAGCACTGATCCTTGAACTCGTAGAAATTTATTGGTGAAGGTTTTTGTTGGTGTTGTTTTCGAGTTAGACGAAAAAACAGACTGAAGAACTTCGTTAGTCATGCGCTCTGGCTACATAAGTTAGAGGCTTGGAGTAAGAGGAGTTGCTTTGGATTTGTTAAAATCATACATTACAGAACGCCATCAAATAGTGAAGCTTAATACCGCATTCAGCGATTTGCGCTGTGTAACGCAAGGAGTTCCTCAGGGATCTGTGTTGGGGCTCCTGTTGTATGTGATCTACTCCAATGATTTAGCTAGTTATATGTCCAGTCGAAATGTTAATATAGTATGTTATGCAGATGATACAAATTTCCTAATTAAACAGGTAAAAAAGTTTAACGTGGACTGAAAATACCAGTTTAGTGGAAAACAGAAACATAACCATATCGGTTCTCTTTAGTCTCACCAGATACCGCTGCGAGAGGAAAATTAGGTACTAGATAAACCCGCAGACAAGACACATTATTCCATACTGAAGGCCGTACATCGTCCACAATTTTCTCATACTTGAATGCATTCTTGATTGTTTCTTCTTGGTGTGTTACACAGTGATTCCATACGTCTGGAGTTATTTCAGTTAATGCACTCTTCCATGTTTAAATGACATCGATGTACCTAAAGAATGATAAAACTTGTTCGATGCCAGTTCAATGGGATTGAAACCTCAATGGTAAGTCGGAAAACGCAGAACTTTGTGGCCATACTTCAGCCCATTTTATAACTACTTGCGGTTTTTGAATTGTGTTTTAACCAACTGTCACCATTCATTTGTGGATTAGGTAATCCTTCAAATGGGGTTGTAAAAGTCTAAACCTCTCCCATACTGGTTTTTTAAAGGTTGTTTCAACAATACGCGAACATCGGGCGGCTAAAATAAATCGTTTAATCGTTGTCTTTCTAAGAATGAAACATCAAATTAAAGATAACACAACACCTACAAATATCGATGCGACAGTTATGCACAACCAGAATAATGTGACGAAAAATACTAACTTACCTTAGGTAACTGCGATACGACATTGTTCTCAGGGTCTCAGAGTAACAGATAACTACTGGCATGAAAATGAATGAAATCATTTATTACCAAAGCTATATTTTGAAAAAATTAGTACAAGGTGTGTCACGTATCGTTAACTTCATTGATTTAAGAACTCTAATAAATAATGCAACTCAGATAAGTCGACTTTAATGTCTGAAGTTAACGCACCTTCTTTACTTCGATTTCAGTTGCAATGAGAGCACACGTGTTCGTGTGTTTAGTAAGTTTTATCTTCGCGGCCGTAGCCAAAGACCCATCCCTGGAAGATGAGGAAATACGCGCAAGAGCATACGTAAAGTTACTGAATGACAAAATAGCTCTTAGAAATAATCGAGAAACATTAGCTGCTTGGAAATATGCTTCAAACATTACAGAAGAAAACTTAAAAGAGCAGGTGCGTAACAATATAACGTATTCATGAACTTATGTTTGATTTTAGCTTGATGTGAGCAAAGAGTCTGCAAAAGAAACAAAAGAAGACTGGTTAGAAACAATCAAATTTAATTGGAGATCGTTCGGCGATTATGATCTACGGCGGCAATTTGAAAAATTATCCATATTGGGTAAATCCGCCTTACCGGAAGAGAAGTTTTTGAAATTGGAGAAAATTATTAGTGACATGCAAACTATTTATTCCACCGCTAAGATTTGCGATCATAAAAATAAAACTAAGTGCGATTTGGTCCTGGACCCTGGTAAGTACATTGCCAAAAACAAACTCGGCTTAACAAGTATTTGCAGAAATAACTGATATATTAGCAAATTCACGTGATCCCGAAGAGCTGAAGCATGTCTGGGTGGAATGGAGGCACAAAAATGCGCCGGCGAAAGAATTATTTAGGGATTATGTTAAGTATGCCAATGAAGCCGCAGTCTTAAACAATTTCACAAGTAATACCGGATTTTGGTTATATGATTATGAATCCCCAACTTTCGTTCAAGACGTAGAAAGTATTTGGGAACAACTCAAACCAATTTACACTCAATTACACGCGTACATAAGGACAAAATTAAGACAACGATACGGGGATATTGTTTCCGAGAAGGGTCCTATACCGGCACATCTTCTAGGTATCTAAATGAAATGTTATTAACAATATCTTACTTAGTTGTGTATTTCAGGCAATATGTGGGCTCAAAGTTGGTCAAATATTGCTGACTTTACTCTTCCACATCCGTCAGCAAAAAGGGCCGATATTACATCAGAATTGCTTAATCAAGTAAAAGTCTAAAGCATTTTTCATAGAATCCATTGATAATTTTACTTTCAGGGGTATGACGCCTTAAAAATGTTTAAAACGGCGGAAGAATTCTTTGTTTCTTTAAATCTGAAGAAAATGACCCCGGAATTTTGGGAACGATCAATATTGGTTAAACCAAATGATGGTCGAGAACTAGTTTGCCATGCATCGGCTTGGGACTTCTTTGACAAAAAAGATTTCCGGTGGGCTATTTGTGCAAAACTAATTTCATAATTTTAACGTTTTTCCTTTAGGATTAAGCAATGTACAAGTGTCAACTTTGAAGATTTCACTACAGCTCATCATGAAATGGGACACATTCAGTACTATCTGCAGTACAGCGACCAGCCAGTTGTTTATAGACAGGGAGCAAACGATGGTAAACCCACAATAAGTAACAAGCGCAGTAATACCTAAATATGTTTTAACCTTAGGATTCCACGAAGCCGTGGGAGATGTAATGTCGCTGTCGGTCTCATCCACAAAACACTTAAAAAGAATTGGACTCATAGACGCGAACACACCTGATAATGATGCTGTTGATTTGAATGCTTTATTTATGGTAAATTTGTATTTCTTTATATATAATAGAATTTAACCTATTTTCACTTATAACAAAGATTGGCCTTGACAAAATCGCTTTTCTACCATTTGGATATCTTATGGATAAATGGAGATGGGGCATATTTGATGGCAATATCACTGCAGAGGACTATAATTGTAAATGGTGGGAATACCGCACATCGATACAAGGAGTAGAGCCACCGGTGGACAGAAGCGAAGATGACTTTGACGCAGCTGCAAAATATCACATAGTAGCTGACGTTCCTTATTTGAGGTACACACGCCCGACGTCTTTTATTCCTTCAAGATTTACTTCAAATTCTTATTTCAGATATTTCGTAAGTTTCGTAATACAGTTCCAGTTTCACAGAGCAGCATGTGAATTGGCAGGTGAATATGATCCTGAAGATCCTACTAAACCTCTACACAAGTGCGATATTTACCACAGCACTAAAGCGGGCGAAAGCATAGCGTAAGCTTAAACAAATAGAAATTTATTATGGTAATTCTGTAATATTGTAGTAAAATGCTGCAAATGGGATCCTCTCGTCCTTGGCCTGATGCTATGGAAGTTCTTACTGGTCAACGTAAAATGGATGCGAGTGGTTTATTGGAATATTTCAGACCCCTGCATAAGTGGTTAGAAGCAGAAAATAAGAAGAACGGCGCATACATTGGATGGGAATCAACCCAGAAAAGTATATAGTTAGATGCTTGAATAACATAACATGGTTTTTATTTTAGAGTGCACAAAGAGGCAGTGAAGATTAATGACATAGTTATAGCAGCTTCAATTAATGGTTTCAGACATACCTTAATACGCATAGTTTCATCTTCACAATATGTGATACTCGAGTTATCAAATTTTTAATAAAGATTTACCTTATGGTCGATTTGTTTCGAGAATCTTTATTTTGATCATGCCTTGACTTGGCTCTTTTAAACTATAGAAAAGTTGATTAAAATCGTTGATCATGCTTGTTGCACATACTATTTACCTTAAAAGTTTCGTGGTTCTATAATTTTCGTGTGTACTGCACCCATTGAATTCTTACTAAATCCTATGATTTTTGTTGTAGGAATTCAGGGTATAAACCGGTTGCTGTGTTAATTAGCATAGTGCTGTGCTGGGCCTTATTACATTGACATAGGATATAGCGTCACTAAAGCCCCTGAAGCGACATTTGATTTCAACGCACGACATTATTGGATTTGAGTAATATCTGTCTTCGCTGTTGACTAATTGCGGGAGGACCGACCTCAAGAATTACTTTAGGAAAACTTATGTAGATTGGTCTCGACTGCCTACACATGGGATAGTGCACCTCAGGTTTATTGTGCTGTCAGTGTATTCAAACCCGTACTCCAACACAATGTCTCTTGCCTCTTTCAATATTATGTCTACGGGTTTGAGGTTCCCGATTGTTTGTGGATTCCAACCTAGCTGTTTTCTTCTTTCCAATGCGAGAGATTCGAAGAGTATGCGATGCGCAGTTTCGTCTTCCTCGCAATCTGCAAGTTGGTTGAGCTCTATATAGGACTATAGGTATAGATGCTGATCTTCTGAATGTTTTAAATCCTACAACTCCGGTAAATAAGCTTTGCAAACTTTTTCGGTGGTGTAGCCTGTTTAATTTTCCCGCGGTAGTTGGATTTTGGTCCAACTGTTAGTTAAAATGTATATCTTGTTACAGGAGTTTCATTCCTGACTTTCAGTCGCGCATTTAGTAATCGCATACAATTCACTGATTTGTTCACTTTTATGTGCACCCTGCACCAGCCAGACTCTGTTTCTCCCGTAAACTTGGAACTGGAACGGTCTGTGTAGATGATGAGGTTTTTGTTTCAGAATCCCAATTTGGGTTTCGTAAGTGAACTGCGTTTGATCATAGCTTTGGTTTAACTCTGGACAAGTCTGTCACAGGGCGCCACTTTCAGAGAGGGCGACAAGATGTGCTAAATTATATTTTTTTAATTATTTACAATTTAGATCTGGGCTTATCATTTAACCCTTGCAATAAAAAGCTGCTATTTCTGCCAGTGGGACATTCCTCTCCTCTGCGGTTCTTGGTGTATTTTGTTTCAAAATCAATACAGATAAATAACACTATGAAGCTCGGTCACTAAGTACGCAATTTAACTACTGTACCTACCAACCTATTGGTTGCGGGGGCACCGAGCTAAATGTAGCCCATGGCGCTAAAAACATAGCCCGGGGCCTGCATTTGGTGGTTGTGTTATAAGTGGGCGTTCTAAATTAGTTTGGAGGCGTATGTTAGGTCCTAAATACGTCACTTTGTGCGTCCACTGAATGTAGGTCTTAAATAGCATCAGTTTTTTGTAGGGTGCTATTTCTTTTCTCCTTGTAAACGGTACTATTGATGCTTTTGTAAGATTGATCATTAAATCTTGTGCTAAGCATCCTTTACTAGTTTACTTTCAGGACTACTTTCATGATATCTTCAAAAATCTTTTGGTTTCTACTTTGGATTATTGTGATCATCAACGTACGCCTCCCTGGGCGCAGCAATCTTTGTCGTTTGTTTAGAAATAGTTCGTCTACTGTTAGGCACCACCGGAGTGGAGATAAATTCTCTCCCTGTGAGCACTCTCTGGTCGTTGAAAGTACTATCTCTCAGATCTAATACCACCGTTCTGGTGTTTACCATCGACATAGGTCACCAATCATGTGGTTATGGTATTTCTTTTTCAATGTAGCTAGTATTGTTGAATTTTGAAGATATCCTCTATGTCAAGGAAAGCCGCGAGAGCAAATTGATTTTCATCTATAAAATATAGTGTTTCTTATCCAATTTTGCTTACTAGCTGACGCAAAACTGTTTCACCAGCTTGGTAAGCATGCTGATGTGGCGAGGTGGAAAATCAAAACTTTATCTCTCTAGATCTGCTGTATCGCACACACAAGATGAGCGACTTATTGGTCTGCGAAAATAAGGTTTTCACCTTAAAGCGAGCAGCTTTGGCGCATTTTACATGAATTGATCAGTACTTCTCGAAAAGTAATGTAACGGACTGTAACGTTATTTATAAATTCGGGTTCGATTTATATCAATATTTATTAAACAAAACTAAAACACTATAAAATCCGTACAATTTATATCGATTATTTATATCACTCACACTTCGCAATTTATTTCAGATTTTCGCGCTCGATGTTTCATACGTACTCGTTCGGTAGTAGACTGCCGCGATGGTCGGTCCGCAACCATTTATACACGCAAGCAATGTAAGTCCCGAACATTCTCGAATACGCGTAGAAAATTCCAGAGCGCCAAAGGCGACGTCATGTCTGGAGCATTTCCGTTACAGGACTATTTATGTGTGCAAAGGAACATAATATAATAATAATAAATAAGAAACATTGAGCAGTCTGCGCATGCGCACACTTGATATTTAAAATATGCGATATGTTTGCCTTTACTAGAAGCATCTGTGGTTAAAATTTTTAAAAAATATCTATAAATAAGACAGACGGACCGACGGACGGAAAAAGTGGCCATAATAGGAGCAAGACAGGAGTTGACAAAGCAAAAATATCATCTTGTCTCTCGCAACTATAATCATCTATACACTGTAATGTAAAAAAGTTGCGCTTAGGTAAAAAAAGACTCTTAAGTTTCAGCAATAATTGAGTATCATTAGCGAACAATTTTTAGGTAGACCACTCGGGCCATCACTAAAGCGCATACCTAGTAGTAAATGAACAAATAGTTTCACCAAAATGGCATTACAGATTTAGAAATTCCTTGAAAAAGAATATGCAACATTCTTTATTTATGTGTAACGCGAATCTTTATTTACGTAAGTGATATAGCAAAGAGTCACTTGGATTAGGCTTTCATATAGGTAGATTTGACAAAGGTTAAGATTTCAGCATATTGAAACTCTTTATTTATATTGGTAGTAGATGCTATTTTTTTAAGTTGTAAAACGGCTCAAAGTACGATTATTCACAGGGATTCATACATTCTAGAAGAAAAACAATGATAACGAAAAGTGGTTCATATCTATATTAGTGTACCTACTTTTTTGACTTGGTTCCCATCCAATATGTGCACCGTTCTTCGTATTTTGTTCTTCTAACCATTTATGTAAAGGTCTAAAGAATTCCAATAAACCACTGGCATCCATTTTACGTTGACCAGTCAGAACTTCCATCGCATCAGGCCAAGGACGCGAACTTCCCATTTGCAACATTTTCCTACAATCCAAAAGTTGTCTTGTTTAGAACATTTTTATTTTTTAAATCTTACGCTATCTTTTCGCCCGCTTTCGTACTGTTGTAAATATCGCACTTATGTAATGGTTTAGTAGGATCCTCAGGATCATATTCGCCTGCCAACTCACAAGCTGCTTTATGAAATTCGAACTGTATTACAAAACTTACGAAATATCTAAAAAAAGTAAGAAGTCAATTTTCAATTTAGAGTTAATGTTGCGTGAACCTCAAATACGGTACGTCGGCTACTATGTGGTATTTGGCAGCTGGGTCAAAATCCTCCTCACATCTATCAACTGGTGGCTCCACACCTTGAATGGTAGTGCGATATTCCCACCATTTGCAATTATAGTCATCGGAAGTGATATTACCGTCAAATACACCCCATCTCCATTTGTCCATTAGGTACCCAAAAGGTAGAAATGCAATTTTTTCAAGACCAATCTTTATTGTAAGTGAACGTTAAAATTTGTTAAACCACGTAAAAACTTACCATGAACAAAGCATTTAAATCAACTGCATCATTATCAGGAGTGTTGGCATCCATAAGTCCAATTGCTTTCAAGTGTTTCGTCGATGAAACTGATAGCGACATTACATCACCAACTGCCTCATGAAAACCTAAAAGTGAATATATTTTTGTTGACCTTACAGACTATGCGCTTCAAATCTACCATCGTTTGCTCCATCTCTATAAACGAGTGGCTGGTCCCTGTATTGCATAAAATACATAATATGCCCCATTTCATGATGCGCGGTGATAAAATCTTCGAAACTGACACTTGTACATTGTTTAATGCTAAAACATAGCGTCAACGATGGTCAAATTGTCATATGCTACTATACCGAAAGTCTTTTCCATCATAAAAGTCCCAAGCGGATGCGTGGCAGATTAATTTTCTACCATCGTTTGGTTTGACCAGTATCGATTGTTCCCAAAACTCCGGTGTCATTTTTGACAAATTTAAAGAAACAAAAAATTCTTCTGCCTTTTTAAACATTTTTGTAGCGTCATAACCCTTTAATAAAGTAATAATCGTACCATATTATGAAAAGTGAACTATTTACTTGTTTGACCATTTCTGATGTAATGTCGGCACTCTGAGACAATGGGTCTGGAATAGTAAAGTCTGCAACGTTGACCCAACTTTGAGCCCACATATTGCCTGGAATTTGTCTATAACAGGTAGCACACTACGACCAATTATATTACCTAAAAGATGCGCCGGTATGGGACCCCTTTTGGAAACAATACTACCATATCGCTGTCGCAATTTGAATCTTATATACGCGTGTAATTGTTGATACAGTGGTTTGAGTTGTTCCCAAATAGTATCAACTTCTTGAACGAAAGTAGATGATTCATAATTATGCAACCAGTATGCGGTGTTACTTGTGAAATTGTTTAGAACTGCGACTTCGTTGACATATTTTACATATTCCTTAAACAATTCCCTCGCCGGGGCATTTTTGCGTCTCCACTCAACCCAGACATGCTTAAGTTCCTCTGGATCGCGGGAGGTTGCTAGTATGTCAGTTATTTCTGAAAAAATTAATGTCAACTAAATTATCTTTAAATATTAAAGTTCAAATAAATAGTAGGTACTTACGTACCAGGTTCCAGTGACAAATCGCAGTTTGTTTTATTATTGTAATCGCATATTTTAGCAGTGGAATAAATGGTTTCCATATCGCTGATACTCTTCTCTAACTTCAAAAACTTCTCTTCCGGCAAGGCAGACCTTCCCAATATTGAAAACTTTTTGAATTGTCGCCGTAGATCATAGTCACTAAACGATCCCCAATCAAATTTGATTGTTTTCAACCAGTCCTCTTTCGCTTCTTTGGCAGATTCTGTGCTCACTTTAAGCTGAAATTATAGCGATACAAGTCAAAAGCGATTCATCTTATTTCACACCTGCTCTTCTAAATTTTGCTCTGTAATGTTCGAATCATATTTCCAAGAAGCTAAAGTTTCCCGGTTAAATCGAGTAGCTGTTTTCTCATTTAGTAACTTTATGTACGCCTTTCCTCGTGTTTCTTCATCCTCTAGAGGAGGGTCCGCAGCAACCGACAGGGTGATAAAACTGACTAAATACAGAAATAAGCGTGCGTTCATGGTACACCTGAAACAAGAATTATAAAATGTTGACTTATGAGGTAACACATTCTATACTCTAGAGCTGACAGTGAGATATGGTAGTGCAGACGTAGGCAGTAGTTAATTTGCTAAAATTCAAAGCTGTACCGTCTGTGCGCATATCAATAAGTATCGCTAACAGACGCTGAGGCGATAACAGGGGCGGTTTTATACATCTACTCAGGGGGGGGGGGGGCGAAAATAAAAAAGCTACAGAATTGCAGATGCAGGGGTGCGCGGGAATTTTTTTTAAGTAGCTTTGACCCAATTATTTCAGTTGTTTTTAGCGCATTTTTGAAAAAAATACGCTATTATATTCGTCATTGCTGGCAGGCCGGCTGTCCGCGTTAGATCTCCACAACTACAATAGCTAGAGACTTCAAATTTTCACTAAAAGCTTTCTGCTATAGTGTAGATGTGCAGGCACTAGTCTATTTTGAGTTAGATTACTTGTGAGATCGATAATTGAAGAAAATAATTTCGATATGGGTTTCGGAGGTGCTATAATTTTACCGTTAGATAGCGCTACCAGTATAAAAACTTATTATTTACTTTGTGATTTGTTTTACAAAATGAAGACGTACCGTCAATTGAAATTAAATAAAATTAATTATTTAACGCAGCTCGTGAGATCGATAATTTTAAACTTCGCTAATAAAATACTGACCTGCATTACCAAAAATGCGCTTTAATCATGCATATGCTGATTTACAACTTGTTTTGTTAAGCTATCTATTGCCGCATTAATTTCCGAATACTGACGAAGGACACAAAAAATATTAGAGTGTTGTTATGACTGTTAAGTCGGCGATGCCGGAGCCGAGCAAATCGCGAATAAATAATAATACAGACAAAGAGACAATCTAAAGTTCGAATGCGATCATTCGGATCATCGTCGAACTGTCGAACTGCTGATTAGGGTTGTTTTACATTACAGCAGATGAACAGACGTGTTATTAATATGCATTTATTGAAGTTAGCAGTGCGGTGGTAATCAGTGCTGAGTGCAGTCGTGAGTCGCAGTCTGGACAATACACGATTCCGCCCCGCCGGCATTATTTTGTATTTTATTCAATTTTACTTTTCCGTCAGGTGGTTTGTGGTTAGGTCTATTTTTTGCGCGATCGGTCATTTCTGACTATTTACCATGGGTGTTTCCATGACAGTACGTAGAATTTACCAGTTGCTATGATTACGACGACGCCAAAATTACTTACCGATCTAAAAACAGAACAGCAAAAATACTTACCGACGCCTTTTTAAAAATCAACAGTCTTACATTACATTTAATCTTTAATTATTGTTAGGTACATTAAACGTACAATTTGTGCTGTTGTTTCCTATAGAAAGACGCTCATAAAGTCATAAAGGAAGTGCAAAGCTAGTAAACTACATCAGACACATGCACATTTTTATGAAATTATTAATTTCAATTTTGACAATTAAACTGGTTACCTAGTGATGTACAACCATACCACTTCGATCATTTCGATTTATTCTGCTCGTTAATTTCTTAGTGCATATTTATATTGGTTGCATAATTTTAATTTCGATCGCGCAAAAAATTTTATAAGCACGTCGAACGTTAAGGGTTACCGTTCTCAGACAATAATTGGAGTCGTCGCTTCGCTCCTCCTCCAAACAATTGTCTTCGAACGGTAAAAATCCCTTACCGTTCTCCATACTTAATATACTATAATTCGATTATTATGTAACCCTAATGAAATAAAAAAACAAATGAGCAGTATGTTTAGGGGGTGCGATCGCCCCTGTCCCCCCCCCCCCCAAAAACCGCCCCTGGGCGATAAGCAATAAGCAATTGGCAATACGCACCACGCAATACTATCGGTTGTACCTATTTTACATTGAATTAAATTAGAGGTTTCACGTTGAAGCAACTAACAACACACACAAGAAATAGAAATGATACAGGAGACAAACAAATTCTACAACAAAAAAAACGATTACTTACAGTTTTTTTTAGCGTTGGTAATGCTTATGTTTTGTATATGGGTATGAAGTTTTCTCGATCAAGCAGAAAAGACACGGTGTCGCGTCAAGTGATGATTGTACCGTACTCGACCACAATCGGGCGATTCAAGAAAAGTTGGGTATACTGTCGATACGGTCCTTACTTAACAGTGCGCAAGCGTTTTCTAATTCGAATCTAAAATTCTCGCACATCTCCCATGATAGTATTACACACATGTTACGATGTTTATTATTCAGAAGTTCTACGTTTGCGACACGAGCAAGCTTGCGAGCGTGTGTAGCAAATGATTCCGGGTGAATAAGGATCATTTGTGTTTTACATATGGCTGTATAGGTTATACGGTTATAATTTCCAATGTCTCCGATGGTTGCATGGATTGCGAAATCTGTGACATTTTTTTGTCCTCTACTTGAAATATCCGTACAAAAAGGTACCCTTACAGTTCACTATAACTTAGAATTTAAAAATTTTCATTCCTGACCCACATACCATTCGATATCTCATGTACATGTTACCGGCAAACTCCAAAATCCGGCATTTTGCATAATGCCTAGGCATTTCGCGAAATGACGAATGCAACAGGCAAAGTAAGAAACGGAGCTGTAGTTCGCACTTTGCCTGCCTCTCTTTAGGGATTTCGCGAAATGCCTAAACATAAACATGCAGTAGTTGCCTTGCCTTGAAATACCCCTTAGGCGTAGCGTACGCGAATAAAATTGAGAAAAAGCAGTAAAATTTGTTAGGCAACACACAAGACATATGCAACACTATTCTCTATGCCGTTGAATCTCTTATTATGGGTACTCTTTGATATGGGTCGGTTAAGTTGGCCCCCCCCCATTAAACATTTCGTTATGATATTACCATGTAATAATGCGCTCGATATGCGCTCAAACGCGCCGCTGAAAGTAATTTTTGCGCTGTTAAAGTTTTTGAGATATTTTGAAAAACATTTGGGGGGGTTCAAGTTCAAGCAGCCCCCCCCCCATTATGCAATTTGGTATATCTGATGATTCCAAATTGTGCCTGTAGTTATGCGCTAAACTGCGCCACTGGATTAACATTTTGCGCCACTACCGTATGACCATAACGAAAGACAGAAGGTGGGTGGGGCTAAATTGATGGTTTTAAAAAAAGTGCACTTTCTTAAACATTCTTAGTGCTATATGTTCTCTTTAGTTATGCGCTCAAATGCGCCGCTGAAAGTAACTTTTGCGCAGAAAAAAGAAGGAATTTTTTCTGTACCGCTTACAAAAAAAGTTATTGTAAAAAAAAAACAAAAAACAGTTTTTTACATGTTCCATAATTTTACACTTTTGCCGTTTATTAACGATCCTAGAGATCGTTTATAATTTCGCATTGCTATCTATCGTCTGCCTGTTGGTCTGTCCGTCTGTTCCTTTGTCTGTCTGTCCATCTATCTGTCCGTGTGAACGATAACTTTGTTTAGAAATGTTCGATCACTTTTACATCTCCGTTAGTTATGAACTGAATTGCATGAAATTCAATATGGGCATAGCCTTAGCCATATAATACGCAATGCCAAAAGTTGAGTCGAATCGATTCAAAATTCGCAGTGCCCTTTTCGCATCTCGACCATTTATAAACCGAATTGCAAACTTTTTTTCTTATAAAAGTATTTGAATGAAATTTGATACATAGACACTTGGAATAAAGGAAAATCAAACGCCAGTTTCAAAATTTGGTTTTGCGCATGCGCAGTGCCAACTTTTTTATTTATGAAAGAATTTAAACGAAATTTGATACATAGGCACTTGGGATAAAGGAAAATCAAACGCCAATTTCAAAATTTGGTTTTGCGCATGCGCAGTGCCAACTTTTTTATCTATGGAAGCATTTAAGTGAAATTTGATATTTAGGCGCTTGGAACAAAGGAAAATCTAACATTAGTTTCAAAATTTAGGTTTGCGCATGCGCAGTTCCAACTTTCTTATTTAGAAAGCATTGAAATGAAATTCTTCTCATAAACTGACATTGAAGTAGCACGACAAAAATGGATTGCCCATGTGCAACGCTATCTTTCATATTTGTGGCCGGATTTTTACGATTTTATAGAAGTTGCATCTTACAAATGGGAAATGAATGCAAGTGGAAATGCGCTTCACGTAAATCGTTTACGATTACTTTTTAACTTGTTTAGCTTAAACGGCGCAAAGGTTACTTTCAGCGGCGCATTTGAGCGCATAACTAAAGGGAACATATAGCACTAAGAATGTTTAAGAAAGTGCACTTTTTTAAAACCATCAATTTAGTCCCACCCACCTTCTGTCTTTCGTTATGGCTATACGGGAGTGGCGCAAAATGTTAATCCAGTGGCGCAGTTTAGCGCATAACTACAGGCATAAGTTGGCATCACCAGTAATACCGAATTGCTTAATGGGGGGGCTGCGTGAACTTGAACCCCCCCAAATGTTTTTCAAAATATCTCAAAAACTATAACAGCGCAAAAGTTAGTTTCAGCGGCGCATTTGAGCGCATAACTAAAGGGAACATATAGCACTAAGAATCTTTAAGAAAGTGCACTTTTTTAAAACCATCAATTTAGCCCCACCCACCTTCTGTCTTTCGTTATGGCCATACGGTAGTGGCGCAAAATGTTAATCCAGTGGCGCAGTTTAGCGCATAACTACAGGCACAATTTGGAATCATAAGATGTACCAAATTGCATAATGGGGGGGCTGCGTGAACTTGAACCCCCCCAAATGTTTTTCAAAATATCTCAAAAACTTTAACAGCGCAAAAATTACTTTCAGCGGCGCGTTTGAGCGCATATCGAGCGCATTATTACATAGTAATATCATAACGAAATGTTTAATGGGGGGGGGGGCCAACTTAACCGACCCTATAAGTCTGCTATGTGGGGACGCATCAAACTGGCGAAATCGGCCATAACGTAGAATCTTCTCTCCAAATAGTCGAGACGTTGACATAAAAAAATTTCTTAACTCATGATCACTTTTCCTTTTGTATAC